AATGAGAACAAGGAATCAAGGTTTTTTGGTAAGCCACTGAGATTATAGGACTATTTGTTATGGCAGAAAAACCTAGAATATCACGAATAATAAAATTTGCACTTAGATATAGGGTGATGTTAGAAAAACAATAAACATTCATTCTTTTAATTTTTCTTTTAGGAAAAACTAAGAGTACTCATCAGAAGCCAAAAGAATGGTGACTTTATTAAACAGTTTCCTGTGATCATTTAGAAGGTATGTCATAAACCTAAAGAAAAAAAGAAAGAGATTGCAAAGCAACACCTACTAGCATGTGTTCATGGTTATAGGCTGCATTTGGAAACTTAGTACAAAATAGAGATGCACTCAGAAAAGAGTTGGCCAGTTTGCAAGCAGGAATGAAAGACAAGAGAGGATCTATAAACTTAGAGATCGATTGTGTTAGAAGAGGCAATTGTCAATCTCGACTAGTAAAGTGTAAAATTAAGAACTGTTTGCAGCAAGAAAAAGCCAATTAAAACCAGCTTTGAAATATGGATCGCATCAAGGGTAAGACCTCAAACATACTGTACAAAACCTGCAGATAAATTATTGTCCAGTATGTGCTTTCACTTGGACAAAATGGTTCTGGAAGTGTGACTCTCCCACTCAAGTCCAATAAGGATAGAGCACTCAAAAAGCAAGTCAGGAGAAAGAATGAGAAAGATCAGCAGGCATAACAGCAAGAAAGCAAAGAAATATGGCAAACCATATAAGTATATCTAGAAAAACCCTGGCTTTGGCTATTGCCATATGAAATGCCTGAAATCAAATAGATAAGCAGCCCTTATTTTTTTAGTTGTCCTGCCAAAACATCAACCTGGATTAAAGGAGTTCATACTTGAGATTTAATATCACTCTGTGCTCCCTCAAATTTTAAAAGCTTATTTAAAAACATATTTCCCTGAAGCCTGATTCAGATGTAGAAGACACCTCAACCAGGGATCATGGGAAACAACAGATAGAGCAGCTACACTCAGGGAGAAGAAATGGAGGAGGGGTTACTGTGCTCTCCCATTCTTTTGCTGTCCAGAGTCTGTTATCTCTGCCCCATTGCTGCATGAGGATGTGCAGGGTAGATATCTTGCATTTCAAAAGAGAGGTACATAGGAAGCTGGTGAAGAGGATCTACTATACATCACCCAGAATCTGGGAAATGAGCTTGATACTGTGACTCAATGTGTCTTCTGAGGTGTCCTCTGAAGAGGAAAGACTGAGGGGATTCTGTACTGAGGGGATTCTGTTTGTGGCAGTAAAGTTAAACATTTAGTGAACATTAGTGTCTCTCTTCAAGACACAGGATTAGAAATTTAAAGTCAGGCATGGCATGTGGCTTGCTTTGGCCACTGACATGTGAGCAGAAGTGCTGTGTGTCACTTTCCAGGAGAATGCTCTGTGACTGGTCTGCCCCTTTCCTGCCCCCAGACTAGCTAATGAGACTCATGTGTGGAGATGAATCTTCCCACCACCTGTGTGGAGATGAATCTTCCCACCACCTGAAGCAGAACTTTTGTGCAGACCCACAGTGGGCTTTAGTGTGAGTGAGAAATAAACTCCCTTGGCATAAACCACTGAGTTGTTAGGGCTATTCTGTTATAGTACCATAACCAAGGTTATCCTGACTGATAATGGGAGTGAAAGGTAGGCCTGAAGAGTGGGATCCAAAAATGAAAAGCCCAGTTCTCTTAGGCAGGAGCAGCTAAACACTCCTGGTCTTCAGAGGAAGCCAACAAAGGCTACCAGGCAGGGGTGTTAACATGAACAGTTAACTATTATGCTCAGGCTCATTTATTATGGACCAAATATGCTTTCTCAACAGAAGGAGAAAATCAGCCTAAACCTGCTAAATCACATAAGGCAAAGAGGAACACACAGAAATCTAACACAAAAGATATGTATGTATACAAAGTCCTACATTTTGAAGTTACAAGCACAGGAGTTCTGAAAAGAGGCTCTGAAAGGAGTTAAAGAGGATCAGGAGGATGATTTCTCTATCCCACCCTCTAAGCTTCATTTCCTCTGCAGCCAACTAATACTTTACCAAAAAAGCCTCCCAGAGCCAAGAAGATAAAACTGGGAATATAATAGACCTGAGGTCAGTTTCCAGCTGTCTGTGACCTGAGGAGGTACTTAGCTCTTGGAGCTTCTGCCCTCACATGTGAAAGCCATAGACTAATATACACATCTCAAGATGGTTGTAGGGAGAACCAGCATATTTGAATTGCTTAGATAAATGCCTGGCTGATAGTAGGTGCTTCATACATACAGAAATTTATTTTTATTTCTGTTACCATTTTTTTTTAAATGAGTATAGCAGCTGATTTAAAAAAAAATAATAATCAGGGCAAGATCTAGTGGATAATTCCTCTCCGTGGATGAAATTACAGAATCATTTACTGTATCCCTGACCCCACCTCCACTGCCGCTCAGGGTCCGACTCACAGCAACCTCTCAGTTTTCTCAGAGAGGCGAACGCCTGGAGTGAAGCAAAGTTATCAGGATTCCCCTGGCACCGGCTGCTATTGAATTGCTGGTTCCAAACTCTTCAAAGTCACTTAAGTCTTCGGGATAGGAACCCATGGTCAGAAGCTAAAGGGCCAGAATCAGAACCCAGAAACAATAACCGGCTGCTGCCTGTCCCACTTGAGCACCGGTCCGCAGAACGCCCTGGGGAAGAGCTGACTTCTCACCCTTTCCTGCCATCCCTCCCGGGAATCAGGAGTCGTGGTGCTGCCAAATCATTCTCTTATATCCTGACATTCCTTGGAAGCTCTGGAAATGCCCAGGAAGGGCAGCGAGGGGGGCTGTTAGGCGACGGTCTCCTACCCCTAAGGGGATCGTGCTATGCCAACTCAGTCCAGCGGGGTGGCTCGCGGAAGGAACCGAGGCTCAGAGAAGTTGGATGATCTGCTCAGTTTCGCCCTAGCAGCGCTGAGCACGAGAGAAACTACCATTCCCGACTTGGGTATTTTTTCCACCCTACACTTCTGTCCCTAAGGGGTGGAGGATGGGAGAAGAGCACATAACCACCGAAAAGCCATCACTTACATGTGTCTAGCGCTTCCTAGAGGCTACACAGGATATGGCCCACCCCCCGCCGGAGCCGAGATTTTAAATCCTAGTTGTTCCCTGGATTCGCCTGGTGACTTTTGGCGAGTATCTGCAACTCTCGCCACTCATTTTCTGAGAAGCAAATCCGAGAGAGAAAAAGAGAAAAGTGTGTGTGTGTGTGTGCGTGTGCGTGTGTGCGCGCGCGCGCGTGTAGAGAGATGTGAGTTGAGCTTGTGCGTGTTGTGCGGAGGCGGACAGTCTAGATAATCACACGGCTTCCCTGAGTTTCGGATTCCCTAAATGCCCTAAATTTCCAAATGGACGCTGAGCTGCTTCCATATTCTACCCCCTACAAAAAACCTCCCCTCCGAGGCTGAGCTGTGAGTCCCTCGCACCCTTTCTCCCACGGGCAGGAGGGTGAAGTGGGGGTGCAGCGGCGACAGCTGAGCGCCAGTTTCGAGAAATGCAAATCCGTCGGCTTGTAGGCGCAGCCGGAGGCTCGGAAGGTCGCTCCTGAACTTGAACAGAGACAAACTTCGGAGCGTCGTCAACATGGGGGGCCAACTCAGCTAGACCGCCCCTAAACTTAAACCCGCTTTCGCTCGCCCCCATTGGGGACTTAACTGAGCCACCTTAAGGGAGGTGCGCCCGCCCCCCGGAAGTGCGGGGGGGGGGCACCGACCCGGGCGCTCAGCTTCACCGCCCCGCGCGCGGTGGCCAAGTGCCCGGGAATGACTTCGAACCCCTCAAGTGGGGAAATACCACCCACCCCGCGCCCTCGGCCCCAGACAGCTGGCCTAGTGCCCCAGCCTTCCGGATCCCCGAGTCCCTACATTCTCCACCCGAGTCCTGAACTTCAGCCCGGCTCCGTCCGAGGCTGAGAGAGCCCGCGTCCGCACGTCTCGCGGCAGCCACCGTCACTAGACAGTCAAACCCCAAGACGTCAGCCCACAATGCACCAGGCGGGCCGGGAAAGACGCGTCGGGGAGGGGAGGAGAGAAGAGCGGGGCGCGAGTCGCGCGGGAGGGGTTGGGGGGGTGGTGGAGAAAGAAGGGCCCAACTGTAGGAGGGCAGCGGAGCATTACCTCATCCCGTGAGCCTCCGCGGGTCCGGAGAAGAATCTTCTAGGGTGGGTCTCCATGGCGACGGGCGGGCCCGCCCCCCTGAGAGCGACGCGAGCCAATGGAAAGGCCTTGGGGTGACATCATGGGCTATTTTTAGGGGTTGACTGGTAGCAGATAAGTGTTGAGCTCTGGCTGGATGAGGGCTCAGAGTTGCACTGAGTGTGGCTGAAGCGGCGAGGCGGGAGTGGAGGTGCGCGGACTCACAGAGAGACGGCACAGTTAGTCAAGACGGCAGTAGAGTCCGAGCTGCACATCTTATTTTCTTCCGTCTTCTCACCAACGGCCCAGAGCTAGCGCCAGTGGCTCCCAGGCTGGTGCTTTGGGGAGCACCCGGAGAACCCCTTCGCCAGCCGTCCCCAAGGGGAGAACCCCGCTGCCCGGGCGCAGCTGACAGCGCGGAGAGCGGCGACTGTCCGCCCTGGGGAGTCCGGCAAGCAGCTGCAACGACCGAGAACTTTCCTGGCCGGGAGGACAAGGGACAAGTGGTCGCGGGTCCCGAGACGAACTTTTGCAGCGCTTTCCTCCCGAAGCGGCCGTGGCATAAAGACCAGCAGGCGGAGGAGAGAGGAGAGGCGAGGAAAGGGACGCGCGCCCAGCTTCGCTCGCACCGGTTGCTGAACTTGGGCGAGCGCGGGCCCTCCCCTTCGCCGCGGAGGAGGGAACAGCCGTGCGAGTCCGGGCGGCGGAGATCCGCCGCCGGCACCACTGGCGGGGCCGCGCTGACCTGCGCCTCCGAGGGAGCCGCTGTCGCCGGGGAGCGCTGCGCCGAAGGACGCTCAGTGAGTGACCGCGACTTTTCAAAGCCGGGCTGCGCGCGCGAGCCGACGAGTCAGCGTGCAGGCGGCGTCCCCTTAACCCTGCGTTTCCTGGGGCGCAGCGGGGAGGACAGCCAGCGAGCGCGCGCGCTCTGAGACAAACTTTCCTCGCCCAAAGTCCCGGGAGGCGCGAGTGTCCCCGGCTAGCCTGCGCGCTGTTGCGGCCCCGAAACTTCTGCGCGCCGCCCAAACTAACCCCACGCGGAGAGCAGGACTGTTCTATGACTGCAAAGATGGAAACGACCTTCTACGACGATGCCCTCAACGCCTCGTTCCTCCAGTCCGAGAGCGGCGCGTACGGCTACAGTAACCCCAAGATCCTGAAACAGAGCATGACCCTGAACCTGGCGGACCCGGTGGGCAGCCTGAAGCCGCACCTCCGGGCCAAGAACTCCGACCTCCTTACCTCGCCCGACGTGGGGCTGCTCAAGCTGGCGTCGCCGGAGCTGGAGCGCCTGATCATCCAGTCCAGCAACGGACACATCACCACCACGCCGACCCCCACTCAGTTCCTGTGCCCCAAGAACGTGACGGACGAGCAGGAGGGCTTCGCAGAGGGTTTCGTGCGCGCCCTGGCCGAACTGCACAACCAGAACACGCATCCCAGCGTCACGTCCGCGGCGCAGCCGGTCAGCGGGGCGGGCATGGTGGCTCCCGCGGTGGCTTCGGTGGCGGGCGGCAGCGGCAGCGGCGGCTTCAGCGCGAGCCTGCACAGCGAGCCGCCGGTCTACGCCAACCTCAGCAACTTCAACCCGGGCTCTCTGAGCAGCGGTGGCGGGGCGCCCTCCTACGGCGCCACCGGGCTGGCCTTCTCAGCGCAGCCCCAGCAGCAGCAGCAGCCGCCGCAAGCTCACCACCTGCCGCAGCAGATCTCTGTGCAGCACCCGCGGCTGCAGGCCCTGAAGGAGGAGCCGCAGACGGTGCCCGAGATGCCCGGGGAGACGCCGCCCCTGTCCCCCATCGACATGGAGTCCCAAGAGCGGATCAAGGCCGAGAGGAAGCGCATGAGGAACCGCATCGCCGCCTCCAAGTGCCGGAAAAGAAAGCTGGAGAGGATCGCCCGGCTGGAGGAAAAAGTGAAAACCTTGAAAGCTCAGAACTCGGAGCTGGCGTCCACGGCTAACATGCTCAGGGAACAGGTGGCACAGCTTAAACAGAAAGTCATGAACCACGTTAACAGTGGGTGCCAACTCATGCTAACGCAGCAATTGCAAACGTTTTGAGGAGATACTTTGGGGGCTGAGGGGCAAAGGAGAAAAAATAACACAGAGAGACTGACTTGAGAACTTGACAAGTTGCAAGAGACAGAAAAAAAGAAGTGGAGGACTAAAGCCAAGGGTATCCAAGTTGGACTGGGTTGCGTCCTGACGGCGCCCCCAGTGTGCACGAGTGGGAAGGACTTGGCGCGCCCTCTCCTGGCGTGGAGCCAAGGAGCGGCCGCCTGCGGGTTGCCCCGCTTTGCGGACGGGCTGTCCCCGCAAGAACAGAACGTTAGACTTTTCTTTAACATTGACCAAGAACTGCATGGACCTAACATTCGATCTCATTCAGTATTAAAAGGGGGAGGGGGAGGGGTTACAAACTGCTATAGAGACTGTAGATCGCTTCTGTAGTACTCCTTAAGAACACAAAAGGGGGGATCTGGGGGAGGGGAGGTGGGAGGGAGGTTTGATGAACTCTTTCTGGCCTGCCTTCCTTAACTGTGTATGTACATATATATATTTTTTAATTTGATGAAAGCTGATTACTGTCAATAAACAGCTTCATGCCTTTGTAAGTTATTTCATGTTTGTTTGTTTGGGTGTCCTACCCAGTGTTGTTTGTAAATAAGAGATTTGGAGCACTCTGAGTTTACCATTTGTAATAAAGTATATAATTTTTTTTATGTTTTGTTTCTGAAAATTTCAGAAAGGATATTTAAGAAAATACAATAAAATATTGGATAAAGTAATCCCCCCACCTCTTTTCTGCATTATCTATAGATTATCTACCTAAGGGGACTTGAAATGCTTCAAGTCACTCTCAGTGCTTTGTAGTGTCAACAGTAAAAGTTGTTCTCTCCTGGACTTTAGAAATGACTAACTGATGCTCTCATCAAGTATATTCTTGCCTCCCCCAATTACCTATACAGTTGCTTACAAAGGGTAGTGTGAATTTTTGGGTGGAGAGCATGAGCCCACTGAGAAGTCAAACACTTTAAAGTTTAGATAATGATATCAGGTGGCATGTGTTGTGACCATTTATGTTAGTAGAAACAATATATGCTTTTCCTCAAAGCAGGAACAGTGGCAGATTTTTACAAAAGATGTATCCTTCCCATTTGGAATCTTCACTTGAACAATAACTAGGTAAATGAGATGGTCTTTGCTTATGAATATAACAGTATTCTTGACACAAATAAACATATTCAAATACCAATAACATCTTGAATTCCTTTCCCTTTGCTACTTTTTTTTTCTCAAGTGATATACTGGAGCTTTCAGTTGCTGGGGTTAACATTAATACCATCAGAAATTAAGAAGAACTAGAAAGAGTCAACATAGCAGTTGCAATTCTCTTTCTCTCTTTCCCACACATGCACACACACAAACACCTATGACTAGAGAGATTGGAGTAGTTTACCATTTCGGATCCTTCTATGTTTTTAAAATTGGTTTCTAAAATAATGGGTTTTGTTTAATTCTTATAAACTCCCTTTCGAAAGATGATAATCTAGATATCATGGGAAAGATTTGAAAGAGAAAGCATGAATACCAACCTAATGATTATGGGTATAAATCAAATCTTAACTCAGGGAAAATAACAAACTTGAATTCTGCCTACAGATACACAACTTAGGGGATCAACAAGGCAGACCTCAACAAGGGAACAATTTTTGCTTGGTTGCTTTTCATCCCAAGAGCCAGAGTGATTATCAAGCAGCAAAAGCAATTTGATATCCAGGAATATTTCACAAACCACTAATTGAGGCATGGCTGTTTGCTCATTAACAGTGCTCAAGTACCCAAAAGGTCTGGGAGTGCCAATATCCTGCCTGTGGCTGTAAAGAGTCTCTCCTTAGGAGTATATCTAGGAGTGGAAGAGATTAGATAGACTTGTGAGCCTTCTGATCCACTCCATTGTAATAATGCTTCTTTAACAAAGGGTTACTGGGAGTAGAGCCCAGTTTGCCAAACAGGGAATTTGCCGATGTCAGCAACCCGGAAGGTGAGTTGATTTTGACCATATGCAGGAATAGTCAGCAAAGGGACAATAAAGCACTGTGGGGTGGGGCTCTGTGGAAGCTAAACAAGAGCCAACTAGAAAAAAATAAGCAGGCTGGGGAATTAATTACCTGCAAAGGTAGACTAAGCCCAGACAACAGAATAGCTCGGAAAAGCCACAGCACTCCCCAGTTTGCTTTTGACTCCAGTGGTTAAAAAAAAAAAAAAAGGCTGAAACTCAGGCCTATTTCTACATTTGTTTCAACTAACATTCTAAATACAAATCCCTCAAACTCTGACTTTTCTAACCAAAAAAGGATAGCATAAGTAATTATGGCAAAGTAAACATTGGAGACAGAAAATTCAGTTAGTTACTTGTAGACACTCAAAGGTTAATTTCCTTATAGGTATTCAATGAGTTATGGGAAGGGGAAACTCTAAGTTGGAGAAGATAAAGCTAGTAATAAAGTCAAAAATCCGTTTCACTTATTTGATATATATGTAAATATTTCAATCAGAGATTCGTGACCCATTCTATCCATTGATGTAAAATCTCATGGATTCAGCAAAAATGCTTACAAAATTGTGTGTGCATGTAACCCCATCTTCAGGTCTAGAAAATGAGGAATGTGTGTATTCCCCACTGAACTTCTATAGCATTTTAGCACAACTTTATTCTACTTTATCTCCTGACCAGAACTGTACTGTACTCATCTGTTGACTCCTAGAGCAGTGCCTAGTATTTAGGAGATGTTTATAAAAGAAGTATGAGATGACTAAATGTAGAATTGAACATAAACCCTCATCCAGATTAACCCAGGTCTTCATGTCTTACAGTATAATATACCTCATCCATTTCTAGTGCCAAGTCCAGAAAGAATGAAGACCTCCAGAAGAGCCAAAAATGGCCAGTTCCCACGTTCTAAAGCATAGTTTTCAATGAATGTTCTTAAAAGAAACTCTTAGCACATATGTTCTTACAGCCACACAGAGGGTCTCTTCCCTCATCTATAACACAAGAGTGCATCTTTTCATATAAAATGACTCTGCCTGAACTTGGAGGTAGCCCTGGGTGGGAATAATATATGATTGTTAGACATAAAATGTATTTCCCAATGTCTTTATTAAAAACAACTACTTCTTTGGTAATAGCAGGGAGTTTTATGTTTGTAAAGGTAATAGACATCAGGGGTCCAATATTTACCTGACAACAAATATTAATACCCAATATTTTTTAACAGAGACAAGGACTGATCTAAGGTAATATTCCCCATGCCTTTCTATTGCTAGAAAAGATAGACATTAGCTGAAGCGAGAATGCATTTCTCAGACAATGCATTTTAGTCTGCTCTGCCCCTATTTCCATCCCCTATTTCTATGTGGCCTCTCATAGAAGAGGGGAAGAGGACTGGAAGCTCGAATGGCTCCAAAAGTTGAACTATCCCTTCCTAATTCTGGAAGCTGGCCCCAGTTATTTAGTTTCAGACTTTTTGACATTCCAAAGAAAAGCATTCCTCTGAGCCTCAGTTTCTTTGAGGGCCTATACAAAGTGTGGAGATTCACTTGTAAACCACTCACAATTCCCATTCTCAAGAATTCACCATCTAATAGGGAGGAGTGCAGAGATGAAGCAGAAAGATGTGGCAGATGGGGAGGAGGAGGCAAAGAGGTGACATTTGAACTGATTTGATAGGACACACCAGGCAGAAAAGCTTGGAGGAGGAGCTTGCATGCAGGCACAGGGGCAAGGGGAAATGGGTATGTTAGGGATTTATAATCTGCTTTTGGAGAGGCTGGGAATGAGAGTGTGAGAAGAAAAGAAAGATGAACTAGGAATGCTTAAGGGTCAGGTGGTGAGATAACATCTATTCCATGCTGCATTTAATGGTTACCCTGTAGGTGACAGAGTCACATAGAAGGATTTGAAGCAGGAAGGTACATAGATTCTCTCAACAAAAGTTTCATTATGGAAAGAGTTTGGATGATGGATTGATGGGAAAGAAGCAGGTAAAGAAAGCACAGTTGACCTTAAATAATATGGGGGTTCAGGGTACCCACTAACAGCCTTCCCCTCCCCATAGCTCACACCAGCCACCCACCATGGCAAGTCAAAAATCCAAGTATAACTTTTGACTCCTTCAAAACTTAACAACAGTTTACCCTTCACTATTCAGAGGGATTGGTTTCACACACAAAATCCCCCCTCATCAGAATCTCAGGGTGCTCAATTCCCTCATGAGAGCCATCTTTTATCTACAGATTTGGTATCTGCAGATTCAATCAGCTGACAGCCATGATTGGTTGATCTGTAAATGAAGAAGCCAAGGACAGAAACAACATGTACCTGTGTTGTTCAAGGCACATTTATATCAAAGACTAGTTTTTAGTTTGATTTAGCATGCCATGGTAACTAAATAGCCCTAGAGGTGGAGGCAGCATGGAAAGCAGGCAGCTTGCCCATTTCTTCCTGCATAACTTTCTGAAAAGTTGGACTTAAAGAAGGCTATCAGGAAGTTCCCTTGTCATCTATGCCGCGTTTCCCATACTTCAACCTTTCCTCTCAGCTGTGTCAATCTGATACTTGAAGAAAAGTCATTTACAAAGTGGTGCAAAGGCTACTGTCTGTCTCAGTGTCAGAATGCTCAAAAAAACATAGCAAAGGAGGAGACTTCCTTGGTCACAGTTCCAAGTTGGTCATCATCCATAGGACCCAAACTTGATGTGATCTGGCCACCCAGAATTGATTAAATTCAGTGGGATGAACTGACTCAAACTAAACAAACTATTCAATGTTCAAACATGAGGTCAATGTTTTTAGGTTGGGAAATTGGGTAATATCACTTTATATTCATATGACACTCATTTTACTCCACAGGTAATATTCAATCTTGTTTTGTCTTATGTCCTAGGAAAGGAAGGAAGGGTGAAATTCACAGAATGCCCCACCTGGGAATTTATCATCTAATAAGAGACACAGTTATCATCTGATAAGAGACACAGTTATAAAGAAATTTACCAACAAATGTATAGTTCTGCATTTGACAAGTACAGTGAAGAAGAACTGAGCACCGTGAAAGGATGATGTAAATGGGATTGGGGATAAAGAAGGCCTTTCTGCAGAAATATGGAAGCGACACTTATTAGATAGCTAAAAATTCATCAGGTGAAAAGCAGAAGAGTAGTAAGGAATTCAACACAGAAGTCAGCATGAGCAAATACAACCAGTGAAGGAGGTGAGCATTCCTGGAATGGACAACAAAGGAGAGGACAGTGAGCAATGGGTTTTTACCTCATAGTTTCTAAAGTGCTCTCACCTCTTCTACCTCCTTTTATTTCTGACATTACCCTGGAGCTATGTTTCACAGAACAGAAGCTCGGTTTGCAGTGAGTTTTAAATGTCTTTGTTGTGGCCCCAGTCCAGTAATTGGGGAGGCCATGATTAGGTTTGCAGACCCAAAAACCATACGATCTCCTATATTGTTCCAGGAACCCGACATCCTCGTAATTCTGATTCCTTTGCCCATCACATGTCCCTACTTTTACTTCAAGGACCCCAAGGAACTGAATTAGTTATCAGAAGTTTCTTTGATGTGCACAGCATCTGAGCAAAAGTAATCAGATAGTCTCCTGGGGTATTTCATCCACACCACAGCACCATCTAATGAACTCTGGTTGACCTTCTGCAAACTTCTCCTCTCTGGAGGGGCCAGAGAAGCCCTGTTATTTTCTTCCCTTACAAACTTGATGTGTACCCACTAAAATTCATCACTGCTTAATTTACTACCTGCTTAGATGATAGGTCTCATTAACTATCTGGACAGAATCTGGGCATTTCCAAAATTTCGTTAAGATTGCCTGTCTACCAGGGCCCTCTCTGGTGGTGCAATGGGTTAAATCACAGTACTGCTAAGCTAGCTGCAGCTGCTTCAGGGCAAGTTCGATCCCTGGCCGGGAAGGTGACTCACATGGCACAGCAGACCTCTCTTGTCTCTCCCATTGCTCCCCTCAGGGGTGTACTTCGTCAATCTGCTTGTTCTACTCCCGACTGTCTCTGATGAATCCTCTCACCGCCCCTGCACCTCTGACCTGTACCCCCGTTCTGTCTGTATAAAGAAGTCCTTTTTTTTAAATTGCCTGTTCATCAGCTTTGAGGTTCATGCTCAGATGGAAGAAATTGGCCTAACCTTACCACAAGTCTTGAAAAAGAC